GGCTCGCCACAAAAGTGCATCAGCACATAGTCCAACATTGTTTAGGTATTTCTCCATCTACAGTGCATAATATCAACAGATTCAGGGAATCCTGGGAAATCTGTGAGTAAAACCACAAGTGATTGCCCGTGACCTTCCACCTCTCAGATGGCACTGCATTAAAAACCGGCATGCTTGTCTGATGGATAACACCACATGTGCTATACTTTGAAAAACCTGCATCCACAAATGCAAGTTGGATTAACAACATCCAGAAATGCAGCTGACTTCTTTGGGCTCGTGCTCATCTGAAATGGACTGATACTCAGTGCATAGTAGTCTGAAGAGTCAACCTTTCAGATAATTTATAAAAACAATGGTTGCATTCTCTGCCATCAAAGAAGAAGAGGACCATCCAGATTGTTACCAGTGTAAAGTTCAAAAGCCAGTATCTGTCATGGTTTAGTAATAAATTAGTGGATAACTTGCACATCTGTGAAAGCACCATTAACCCTGAACACATGTTGGACCAAAATGCTGCCTTTTAGACACCGTCTTTTTCGGTGATCTTCTTGCTTATTTCAACATGACAACAAAAATAAACATTCTGTACATGTTCCAACAGCATGGCTGCATTATCAGAGTGTGTGGATGCTAGACTGACCTGAGTGCAGTCCAGACCTGTCTCCCATTGAAAATGTGTCTTATTAAGCTCAAAATACAACAACGATGGCCGGTACAGATGCACAAGTGAAGAATGTTTAATAGAAGAATGGCAAAAATTTACACTTTCAGAACACAGTAATTTATATCTTCAGCCCCTAAATGATTATTTAGTGCCGTTAAAAGGATAGGTGATGTAACACAGTGGGAAACATGCTCCTGATCCATCATTTTCGGAATGTCTTCAAGGCATCACATTTGGAATGAACATATATTTACAAAAACAATGACTTTCATGAGGTAAAACATCAGTTTGTATGAAAACAAATGTGTGTGTGTGCATTTGTGCTCCAAAGGTTTGAACAGTCACAGATCTTAGGTGTTCTTTATATGGTCTTATCACTGATTGCTCCTTTGCTTTGAAGAGAACAAGAGAAAGACTCTTTCTCTTTTCCTTAGCAGAAGGAGGCCTTTGGAGATAGACAGAGCGGATTTAGTGCTTAGAAGACGAATAGAAGACGTATGATCTCTTCAGATGGAAAGATGGCTCCTTTGGGTCTTTCTGCTGCCCCACATTTCTGTTTTTCTACTTTGTAGCTTCTCTGAAATGTATTGAGTATTCAATTTGCTAAATGGAAGATGTGAGTGGATCAATGAAGAAACAGTGAATTGGTGATGTACAGTGGGCCCATATGGCAATGTGTGGTCAATGAAGTCCTCTAGAATCTTACGTGAATGCTTGGTAACGTGAATTATTAGTGTGCTTCATTCTGCTCTTTATATCTACCCCCACTTTTTTCTCTCAGAGTGTCAAGAACAGATTGGTCATTTGCATAAAACAGCTAAATAGACATTTTGTGGTGAATGGAATGACAGAAATGGTCCAAAATTGCCTGGAAGAAGGTTTCGCTACATGAACATACATAACAGTTTAAATGTTTTTCCATTTTCCTTTAAAGTTACTGTTTTTTGAGATACAAGGTGACCAGCTAGTAGAGGTCTGCAGGCCTGTGGGATTCCAGCGGAACCCAAAACAATATCTTGCGGGCGGCAGTGGAATTGAAAAAACAGGCAGAAAAGTATTTAGTCAGCCACTGATTGTGCAAGTTCTCCCTACTTAGAAAGATGAGAGAGGTCTGTAATTTTCATCATAGGTACACTTCAACTATGAGAGACAAAATGAGAAAAAAAAATCCAGGAAATCACTTTGTAGGATTTTTAAAGAATTTATTTGTAAATTATGGTGGAAAATAAGTATTTGGTCACCCACAAACAAGCAAGATTTCTGGCTCTCACAGAGCTGTAACTTCTTTAGGAAGCTCTTCTGTCCTCCACTCGTTACCTGTATTAATTGCACCTGTTTGACCTCGTTATCTGTATAAAAGACACCTGTCCACAGCCTCAAACAGTCAGACTCCAAACTCAACCATGGCCAAGACCAAAGAGCTGTCGAAGGACACCAGGAAGAAAACTGTAGACCTGCACCAGGCTGGGAAGAGTGAATCTACAATAGGCAAGCAGGTTGGTGTGAATAAATCAACTGTGGGAGTAATTGTAAGAAAATGGAAGACATACAAGACCATTGATAATCTCCCTCGATCTGGGGCCCCACGCGAGATCTCATCCCGTGGGGTCAAAATGATCATGAGAACGGTGAGCAAAAATCCCAGAACTGCACGGAGGGACCTGATGAATGACCTGCAGAGAGCTGGGACCAAAGTAACAAAGGCTACCATCAGTAACGCACTACGGCGAGAGGGACTCAAACCCTGCAGTGCCAGGCATGTCCCCCTGCTTAAGCCAGTACATGTCCAGGCCCGTCTGAAGTTTGCCAGAGAGTATATGGATGGTCCAGAAGAGGACTGGGAGAAGATCATGTGGTCAGATGAAACCAAAATAGAACTTTTTGGTAGAAACTCAACTCGTCGTGTTTGGAGGAAGAAGAATGCTGAGTGGCATCCCAAGAACACCATACCTACTGTGAAGCATGGGGGTGGAAACATCATGCTTTGGGGCTGTTTTTCTGCAAAGGGGACGGGACGACTGATCCGTGTTAAGGGAAGAATGAACGGGGCCATGTATCCTGAGATTTTAAGCCAACACCTCTTTCCATCGGTGAGAGCATTGAAGATGGAACGTGGCTGGGTCTTCCAGCATGACAATGATGCCAAACACACCGCTCGGGCAACGAAGGAGTGGCTCCGTAAAAAGCATTTCAAGGTTCTGGAGTGGCCTGTGTTGCCCAGCGACAGCCCCAAAACATCACTGCTCTAGAGGAGATCTGCATGGAGGAATGGGCCAAAATAGCAGCTACAGTGAAGCAAACCTGGCGAAGACTTACAGGAAACGTTTGACCTCTGTCATTGCCAACAAAGGTTATGTTACAAAGTATTGAGTTGAACTTTTGTTATTGACCAAATACTTATTTTCAACCATAATTTACAAATAAATTCTTTAAAAATCCTACAAAGTGATTTCCTGGATTTTTTTTTCTCATTTTGTCTCTCATAGTTGAAGTGTACCTATGATGAAAATTACAGACCTCTCTCATCTTTCTAAGTAGGAGAACTTGCTCAATCAGTGGCTGACTAAATACTTTTTTGCCCCACTGTACGTTTGTACGCTCACTTAAGGTGGATAAACATTTTCGTGATAATATACAATAATATAAAACAATGTAAATACAAAGTACTTGTTGCACATCTCAAAGGGCAGGCAAGGGTGAAACATACTTGAGAAATAATACTTCATCACTATATTTAAGCATTATTTTGGAAGATTTGTACTTTGTTCAAGTGCTTTTTGAAAATGAATACTTGCAAAATTACATTTCCAAAAGTAAAGAACACTTTAAACACTTTAAAGAACACTCCTTGCCTTTTCAACTAGTCCTTTAAAATACTCGTGGCAAATCTCAGACCAAGCAAGTATGGAACTACTTAAGTTATATTAAATGGCTGCGCAAGGCTTGACAGCTCCCAAGGTGCCTTATCCTGATTAATTGAAATTTTCTGAGCAATTTGTATTTATTTTTCAAGTTTTTACAGTTGTGGAGAATTTAATGCTCTCATATAGAGCAGATGGAAACACTATTATTTGTATACAGTACTATGCAAAAGTCAGACCATCATTCATTTGTTTAATCCCCAGTTAAAACAGCCAATAAGTACAAGTTATTCATTTTTCAGGAGATATTTCTGAGGAGATTAGATAAAAGATAGTCCCCTTTCATAAGGAACTCTGAAATCTTATCTGTTTAGTCATCATGACAACTTCAGCTAGGACTGAATTCAGGACAGAAGCTATTACAGAGCAACAGTTCTTAAGTTCATAATCTATCCCTTAATCCAGATAAGAAAACAGTATCACAGGTACATCCTAACTAGACTGAATTTCCTACTGTCCTAGCTTTAGCATAACCCCAGTGTTGTCCTAACTTCTGCTTTAACCACCATTTCTATCATAATTAGGCAACAATTACAGGCAACATAATTCACTATTAGAGTAATGATATTACATTTATTTATATTGCAAAATGGTGTTTTCACTTGTGAGATGTTTTTCCTCTTAGTCTTTTGCAGACTAAGAGGAACGTTGATTCTTGGGGAGGTCAGTGTCTTTTGGCTCCGAATTAGATTCGGCTCTGGTGGCTCAAACATGTATACGTTGTATTCGCTGTACAAGTCCAGTAAAGCTGCTGGACATTTTTCAGGTCATAGTGGTATTTGACACTTGAGGCTGAACCATTCCCGCGATTGGGTGTGGTTTCAGTGCCTTCAGTGGACACGCCCCCAGCATTTCAGAGCAGAGAATACTGCTTATTTTTTGACAATTTTGAAACCTCTTGCCAGTTTTTTTTAATCCTTCAAATTTGGCTTAATAACACATCACCTACTTAATTAAGGTGGGTTGAGAGAGTGGTCAGTGATGGAGGGATAGATGGTGGAAGAAAGCATGTGGAGGGCATGTGTGTGTGTGTGTGTGTGTGTGTGTGGATGTCCCGTTGGGACCATGGCCACAGGACGTCCCACCCCAGGGGTTGGTGCACAATGGCTGCAGTTAATCCTGTCACAGCCAGCTTTCTGCATACACTCACACCAGATGTGCTGGATTAATATTAAAATAGATGAGAGCTAGGAGAGGTCAGGAAGGTCAAGTTGCCACGCGGCTGGTTCTGTCAGTCTTTGTGCGTGTGTGTGTGCGTGTCTTTGACCGTAACAGCTGCGTTTCAGGGAGGCGTGCGCAGGCCCCGTCCCGCTTGGTCATTTTTTTTTTGTCGTCCGTCCTTTTCGGTCCACTTGTCCCCTCGGACCTTCTTCTCGCCTCTCCTCCATCACTCTCTTTTTGTCCCTTAACAGCACTGAGTGTGTCCAAATGCAGAGCCGACGGTGCAACCATTCGTCCAACATGCACCACCCGAGCGTCCAGGTATGTCACGCATACACGTACAGACGTACACTCATTTATTTATATATACACGTTCACTGGTGCGTCCACTGCTGCTGTCCTTTTTGCCGCTTTCTCCTCTCCTCGTTTTGTAACGTTGCTTTCGTCCTCATCAAATATGCCGTCCAACGCGACTTCCATCCATTTATCAGTGTATGTTTTACGCCAGTTGCTGTCGTCCAGTGTAAGGGACTAATACAGTCGTATGTAAAAGTTTGAGCTAAATTATTTTGTTGATATTCAGCATATTTTATACAGGGAATAAATTAAAATGTGATTTTTCTGCTAATTTTTGTGCACAATTTCTATTTAATTGCTGAGTTTAACAAATTTTAAAAAAGTAACATAAAATTGAATATTTTGCCGTAACCTTTGCACACCCTACATTTTACGCTTTGTTTGTTGTCCAGCATTTTCATTTCAGTAAATAAACAGTAATTGTGCTTTAAAATGTGTAGATGTTTGTTCTCTGTAGAAGATATGTATTTATTTTTCATTTTAAAAAAATAATAAAAATGAATTTGAGCAGGGGTGCCCAAACTTTTGTATATGGCTGTGGTTGTGGTTGAAACTTTGATTAGGTTGATTAATTTCTTTATGTTTATGTAAACAGAATGTGACAATTGTGTTTACATGGCTTGTTTATCACATGCTGTCATCTGTGTATATTTATTTTCACATCTTTTATTTCAATCTTATTTATTTATAATCTTTTATGGCATAAAAGGTTTGATTAAGATAATAAAAAAAGATAAAAAAAATCAACAGGACAAAGGAATATAATGTAAAACAATAATTTTAAATGATAAAAAAGATAGAATACTAAAAAGATACACAATAAAACCTGTAAAATAGTACATAATAAAAAAATCATTTTTATAACTATAATTAATAATAATATGATTGGACTTTTAATTTTATTAAAATACATAAAACATAGGTAATAAACATACAGAAAAATTATAGTAAATAAATAAATAAAACTAACTAAATAATAATAACTAAATAAAAAAATAACTAAATAAAAAAAAACTAATGATGAATAAATGATCAATTTTTAGGATACAATGTAAACAAATATTAAAATAAAATGTATAATAGTAATAATAATAACAATAATAACAACAAAATAAAAATATTTTGTGTTTAAGCTTTTAACTGTATTCATAGTAAAACACAGCACACATAATGTTTATATTTTAATAAGGGTATCTTTCTTTAAAATACAAAATAAGAGTTCTTTTTAGTCTAAATATAGAGTCTAAAGAAGCTTCAGACTGAAACAGCACAGCTGAAGCACCTTCCACTGGTGACAGCCCTCCTTATCTCCCTAATTATCTCATTACCACTCATTGGAGCTCGTTAAGAGCCAACTCCTCCCTTATGGAATGTGATGGCTTTGATAAGGTGGATGTGCTGCTCCTCCTGCTCCTCGTACAGCTTCAGAGCTACTAATTACACACTGGACGTCCTCATTAGCCAGTTTGACAGCTAATTAATTCTTTTGATTATACATATTATGGTCTTTTGTTGCTGGGAAATATCACTGATAAATAATTCTCAATTAATTATTAAGTATGAGGACAATTAGAAATGAAGGTGGGGAAGAGGATTAAAATCGTAAGACAGAGTTAACTCATAAAATTCCAGAGTTATTACTCTTGTTTTGCAAGATTATTGAAAGTGAGTAATTACGTAGTTATGTAATGTTATATAAATTATATAGTCACATATTTTTTGTTTGTTTTGATATCAACAAATACCAAACATGCCAAAGAGGATTGCGTTAAATGTACACACAAGGTGCTCTCACGTTTTCATGTCACTACCGAAACACAAAGAGTTTTAGTCTGTGGGCGGAGCCTTATTGAGTTGAGTCACGAGTCTCAGTCAAATTGCGAGTCAGTGGAAAATGAATCTGAGTTGAGTTTTGAGTCAGTTAAAGGCTTATCTGAGTTGGGTCATGGCCAGTTAAGGGCGAGTCTGAGTTGAGTCATGAGTCTGTTAAGGGCGAGTGCGAGTTGAGTCATGAGTCAGTTAAGGGCGAGTCTGAGTTGAGTCATGAGTCCGTTAAAGGCGAGTGCGAGTTGAGTGAAGAATGAGTGAGTAGAGAATGTATCTGTGTTGGGTCATGGTAAGTTCGAGTCCGAGTTGCTGACTCAAGTCGCTGGAAATTAGAAGGTCTGGAGTCACGAGTCTGAGTTGAATTGCGAGTCAGTAGAGAATGAATCTGAGATAAGTTTTGAGACAGTTAAAGGTGAATCTGAATTGGGTCTTGAGTCATGAGTCTGAGTCAAGTTGCAAGTCAGTAGAGAATTAATCTGAGTAGAGTTTTGAGTCAGTTAAAGGCATATATGAGTTGGGTCATGGTCAGTCAAGGGTGAGTCTGAGTTGAGTCACGAGTCTGTTAAGGGCGAGTGCGAGTTGAGTCATGAGTCAGTTAAGTGCGAGTCTGAGTCAAGTTGCGAGTCAGTAGAGAATGAATCTGAGTTGAGTTTTGAGTCAGTTAAAGGCATATCTGAGTTGGGTCATGGTCAGTTAAGGGCGAGTCTGAGTTGAGTTGCGAGTCAGTTAAGCATAAGTGAGAGTCAAGTTGTGAGTCAGCTGAGGACAAGTCTGAGTCAAGCCAGGAGTTAGTTAAGGGTAACTCTGAGGTGAGTTGTGAGTCAGTTAGTGGCGAGATTGTGTTAAGTTGCGAGTCCTAGAGTCCGAGTTGCTGACTCGAGTCCCAGGAAATTAGAAGGTCTGGTGCCCCTATAAAAGCAGAGGTGAATGTGAGTGTGAAAGCAAAACAGGCACAACTGAAACCTTTGGTAAAGTCTGATAGTGAGTGAGAAAATGGAATGGTTAATTATTAATTTTAATAAACATAATTAAGCTACAGGGTCATTGAAAGCAAAAGATTTCAGTCTAAAGTCCAAGTTAGTTAAAAGTCCGAAATGGTTTTAAACTCTGGCTTTGAACCAGTTTTATAGAGTGATCTGTGCAAACTCTCAATGTTACCCTGCGTTTCTCATCTCTCAGATGTGTCCAATTTCTTTTTAGTCAATTTCTTTTTTCTTCCTTTCTTCCTTTCTTGTAAAGGTTGTGTCCCTAATTTCTCCAAAGTGACAGACTGTGTTATGATTTAACCGAACACAGTTTCTCAAGGGATGGATCCCTACACCCCCCGACACACACACACACACACACACGCTACTGCTGCTGTGTTCTACTTTTCAGTCAGAGACTCCATGTTCCAGTCTGGAGGTGTGTGTGTGTGTGTGTGTGTGTGTGTGTGTGTGTGTGTGTGTGTGTGTTGACATCCACAGCTAAAGACTAAATATTCTAAAACTAAACCTCAATATATATAAAACATATCACTGTTTTCAGAACAAAACCTCGTATCTCCAACATGGTAACTTTACAGGAGAAGGAAAAAACACACTTTACTTTTAATGTAAGTCAATGGAACCAGACATATTTCCAAGTCATTTTGGGCCGTTTCTTTTGATTCATTCATAATGAATTTTACAGACAATGTAAAGGACAACAGGCATTTTCAAATTCTGTCAAAAACCAGAAAACGACAAAATACGAGCTACGAGGTTTTGTTCTGTCGGCAGCGATATATAACGATGCATCAGCTGACGTTCAGTGTTAAATACTGTGGCAACTTTGATGTTCATTGTGAAAATGCGATGCCAGTAAAATAGCTACTATAAAACATGTAAAGGATGGTCCTAAAATCTGATTGGCTGACCCACATTCTAAGCCGTTTCAAAATATTTGATATATTGTATATAATGTTGATGACAAAGATGAAAAAACATCATTTTTCTTTGAATTTCTCTAATTTTGTTCATTCTAATTTTTCGCCTACTTTTATCAAATTGTAAAAAATCAACATAAATAATTACAATTACGATTAGTTTCATTTTTAAATAAAAAACTTTATTAAAAAATGTCCCACATTTTCATGTCACTATCAAAACACAGAGTTTTAGTCCAAAGGCGGAGCCTTATTTTAGCCACGCCCCTGCCCTTTTTTAGAGCAGGAAGTAAGACTGTAGCTTGTGCAGGTTACAATACAGTAACATCAGGAAAGGCATAAAACAAATATTTCACATAATGAATTACACAGAAGCTTCAATAACTTAATGTATCATATGTTTCAGCATTTAGTGTGTTTAGCTTTTATTCTTTTCAGGAGACTCGCTTTCAGTTTCTCAAAGAAATCTGCAGGGATGTTTTTCTAGCACCTCCAAAGTTCAGTCTTAGAAGTTGGTTTAGCAATTACTGCTTCTCACGATCTTAATTCAGGAAAGCTAACAAGCTAGCAAGCTTCTTGGTTACTGTTAGGCCTCAAATAGAAGGATTCACTGTACAAAATATAAAGTAACGAATGTCTTGCAACCTTTAAATGTTTTTCGGTTAGATCTTTCATATGTAGTTTCAAACCCAGTATGGGAAAACCTGATATCCATCACCGTTAGCTTGATACTAATTTAACACTGGAAATGCCATGGAGGTGCTAGTAATGATTAGCATTATCATTGCAGTGATAACTGGATTTAAAAAACCTACTTATCACATGAAAGTTTCTACATTAAACACATTTATAATATGATATGAACATGATTAAATGACAAGAAATGCCAACTGCAATATACATAGATGATAATTGTTTGACAGCAATAACGTATGAATGTTAGAATCACCTTGCGCATGAGCTCTGAGAGGGTCGGGATGAGTCATGATGATTTAGAGTATCCATTTACGACGACACACTGAATGCCCCTGGTCAAGGTAATCAATACTCGTTTAAATCAACATGTGCATCAATCACTAGGCTGATCAATTGACCAGATTGGCCATCAGTTAATGCTAGCACTTTCAAATACAGCTACTTAACGGAAATGCAAATGAACAACATTGACTTCTACAAAACAGAAAACACAAATATACACAGTATACATATGGATATACACTTCATTTCCAGC